TATACATATATGGATGTGTATTTTATGTGTGTATATTATATATGTGTATGCATACATGTATATGTGTGTGTGAAAAACAGGAAAGACACTCTAGTTCCTCCTTTTTGGTTCTTAATGCAAACACAGAACTTCTGATCAAATGTAAAACCAAGGCTTATATTAGAATACAGTATTATCCCACCAGTCACCAGCAGTTATCTCCAATTCCACCCAAGGGAAAAGTAGAAGGCCCTAGGGACTAGAACACTAATGAGAGGTGGGACAGCTAACATGGCACCATACTCAAATGAACTTCAAAACACCCTGTAATGAGAAGACAGAGAAAGAAAAAGAGATGGATGGAGACAAAGACCTAGAGGCAAAGAGAGATGGAGAGAGGCCAAGACAAAGATAGAGCAAATTGCCAAAATCTAGTAAGAAGAATGAGTTGTAAACATGTAACTCTGTTACAGAATAGAATATAACTGGTACCCTAAGAGTTAAAGAGCTCTGAAGGAAATCTTTCTACTAGCTTAGAGGGGTAAGAGGAATAGGATGCTCTCTGGATGAGGGGGCATTTGAACTCAGCTTTAATGGATGTACCATAGAGAGCTGGATTTAGGCTTTCTAGTCTGCTTTGGAGTTTCCATCTTGTTTTCAGCTCTGAAAACATGATTTCAGCTTCTGAAATCATGATCTTCATCCATAGGTTCTCCCAGTCCTTCATCCCTTCACTCCTCTCCCTTCACCACCTTGACTGCTACAGCACCCACTTACATTGAGCAGCTTTTTTATCTCAGATCTGTTTCTGGATGACAACAAATAAGAAGCCTTGTAACCATAGGCTGATCTACACCTGAACTTGCCCCTATGTGTTACAAGATTAACTCTGTTGTGGTCACACAATTGGAACTTTAAGCTCCCTTTCCAATCAGCTGCAGATCAGTCAACTCAGCCAACTGCATAGTGGTTGCCAAGGCAGTCAGAGATCATACAACTTTCAGCTGTATAGTACTCTAGCATAAGAAAGCATTGTAGAATCCCATTCATTCTACAATATTTAAAGAATCCATTTTGGGGCAGCTAGGTGGCGCAGGATAGAGCACTGAACCTGGAGTCAGGAAGACCAAGTTCAAATCCAGCCTCAGACCAGACACTTGACACTTAACTGTGTGACCCTGGACAAGTCACTTAACCTTAATTGCCTCACCAGAGGAAAAAAAAAAGATCATTTATCCCCATTGCCTAGCCAAAAAAAAAAAAAAAGAATTCACTTTTGCTAGTAAGGGTCTTTCTTCACTCAGAGACTCCAACTCTTTGCAATAGAAGATATGTTGGGGGAGTTGCTATAAGAAAACGAAAATCTTCATTCTGCCACCAACCTAATGATGAAAAGTCTCTTCAATTATAGTTACACTGGTACTCCCATGACAGACATAAGCCCTATCATTGTCCTATACTCAAACCTTGTACAGATCACTAGGAGTCGTCAAGAATTTGGGCTCTGCTGCCATAACATTGATTAGAATCTGAGAGACCAGGGTCACAACCATACCAAATTGAGGCTTCAAAGAACATGGTAGACGATTATCTCTTTGTTTCTCACAAATTATCTTTGTTTTACAGATGAGGAAATTGAGCTTATGAGTGACTTGCATAAAGTCAAATGACTAAGAATCATGCCTCTGATTTTGGTATTTGTGCCTTTTCTTACAGGCTGCTCTTAGATCTCATCATTTGATGACATCACAGCCTAGATGTGTAGACATTAACTACATCGTATGATAAAGTTACAGAAACCAATTATATTACCACATTTTAAAAAATACAGGCCATCTACAGGAATAATCAGACCTTGGGCCTCACCAAACCAACACTTCTGAGATGCTAAATTCTGCAATTTCCTTCTCTGGCCACAATCTCCTCTCCTCCCACCTCTCCCCACTATACCGTTCCTTCTCAGAGTCATAACTAGAAAATTCTGTAAGACAAGTGGGCAAGGAGTATGAAACATGCCCTCAGTTGCTGTCAGTAGGGTGAGACAGTGGTGTGAGTCTGCTGTTGAGAAGGTTACTGAGGAGGCCATGACAGATTGCTAACCCAAGCCCTCCATTGGTTAGTTTCCTATTTTAACTAATGATTCTTACAAAGCTCTGGATTTCTCTGCTGCTGAAGTCAGTGCCCATATTGAACAAGTCCCATTTGCTCCCATCTTAAGTTAAAGCTCTGCTTTAACTTGCTCTTCATCCTCAGTGTGACCTCTGGTCCCAATTCCTTCCACTTTTCCAACTCAATAACTCCTATTCTCACTCAACTATTTTTCCTTCATGGTCTTCATTTACCTGTAGTCACCCACTTCACTTATGCACTATCCTCTACCCTCAAATCATTTTCCCCCTTCTATATCCCAAAGAGATCATAAAAGTGGGAGAAGGACCCACATGTACAAAAATATTTATAGCAGCTCTTTCTGTGGTGGCAAAGAATTGGAAATTGAGGGGCAGCTAGATGGCATAGTGGATACAGCACCAGCCCTGGAGACAGAAGGATCTGAGTTCAAATCCGGCTTCAGACACTTGACATTTACTAGTTGTGTGACCTTGGGCAAATCACTTAACCCCATTGCCTAGCCAAAAAAAAAAATATAAGTTGGGAGTAGCTAGGTGGTGGTGCAGTGGATAGAGCACCAGCCTTGGACTCAGGAGGACCTGAGTACAACTCTGGCCTCAGATACTTACTAGCTGTGTGACCCTGGGCAAGTCACTTAACCCCAACTGCCTTAAAAAAAAAAGAATTAGAAATTGAGGGAATGCCCATCAATTGAGGAATGGCTGAACAAATTGTGGTATATGAATGTAATGGAATACTATTGGTCCATAAGAAATGATGAGCAAGCAGACTTCTGAAAAACCTGGAAAGACTTGCATGAGCTGATGCTGAGTGAAATCAGGAGAACGTTATACACAGTAACATCCATGCTGTGGGCTAACAACTTTGATAGACTTAGGTCTTCTCAGCAATGCAAGGATCTAAGACATCTCCAAAAGTCTCATGATGGACAATGCTATCCACATCCAGAGAAAGAACTATGGAGGTTGAATACAGATCTAAGCATACTATTTGCTCTTTTTTTTCCTTCTGTTTTGTTGTTTCTTCTTTCTTGTGGTTCCTCCTATTGGTTCTAATTCTTTACAACATGACTAATGTGAAAATAAATGTTTAATAGGAATGTATATGTAGAGCCTATATCAGATTGCAGGGCATCTTGGGGAGGGGGGTAGGGAGGGAGAAAATTTAAAACTCGAAAGCTTATTATGGAAGTGAATGTTGAAAATTAAAAATAAATTAGTAAAAAAAAAATCATTTTCCTCCTTGTCTTCCTACCATTCTCATCACTGAGTAAGCCTCATCCTCTGTCTTTTCCACCCTTATTTCCAAGTTGTCAGATACAACTAGAGAAAGTCACTTGCTGATGGGGTCAGTCTACTGCATACTCAATCTGTGTGAACTCAACTAGGAACTTAATGCACTTAGTGATTACACTCCCAAGAGCAACTATTCCATACCATCTGCCCTTTCCTCAAGGCCCCAGCTCCACTCCTACCCACCCCAAGCAGGTGATTTAACTTCCTGCTACATATAGATGATTAAATAATGTCTGTTGATTAGAAACTGAAAATAAAAAACTCCAATTTTAGATTAGAGCTTCAGTTCCCCCACCCCAGGCATTTAAAGGCCGTTCATTCCCTAATCATAAGATTTTGAGCTTGGAGGGATCATCTGGCTGTAGGAAGCAGCTAGGTAGTGTAAAGGATAGAGCACTGGGCCTGGAATCAGAAGGACTTGAGTTCTAAATCCAGCTTCAGACACTTACTATCTGTGTGACCTTGGGCAAGTCATTTAACCTCCATTTGCTTCAGTTTCCTCATCCGTACAAATGGGGATAAAGACAGCATTTACCTCCCAGAATTGTTGTGAGGATCAAATAAGATACTATTTGTAAAACATTTAGAAAAAAAAAAGAAAAACATTTAGCACAGTGCCTGGCACATAGTAGGATCTATATAAATGTTAGTTATTATTAGTATTAGTTTATAGAGATGGAAACAGATTCAGGGAGATACAGTGAGTTGCCTGTGATTACACAGCTAGGAAATAAGTTGAAGAGCCTAGATTCAAACAAATGGCATCTTGCTCCAGATTCAGAATTCTTTCCATTAACTATGCCATACATTTCCCCTCTTTTGTCAGTCAAGCTCAGTCTCCCAGCATGTGAAAGAAATGAGACCCTGATGAGAAGACCAGGAGGTGGTAGAAGTGGCTTAGACTTTACTCAGGCTGATGCAGAGGGTAGAAGAAAGGCACAAAGGAAACAGCTCAAAGGAGTTCCTGATCCTCTGTTTGTCCCAAATGACTGTGAAGAGGCAGCCAGGAGAGCAGATGTGAGCAGAGAGCAAGGTGAGTAAAATAAAGAGAATGGAAGAGCACAAGGAAAAGAGGAGAGGAGGAGAAAGATAGTCAAGTCAAAAAGCAGAAGGTCAAATCCTATTCCCAGAAAATTCTCTGTATGGCAGCAATGATTTTCAGCATCCACTTATTTCAATCATTTTTAGATACAACAAAATTCCAGTACAAAGAGAAAGGGCGGCCCTAATGACTGTGCTATCCTGGGAGCTGGTCTGCTCATACTCTTGAGATGAGACATAAGACAGTGCCCTGCTCTCCTGACTACCCTCATCCCCACCCTACCTCCATGCCCCTCACTTACTCATTCTTATAACATCCAAATCCAAGCCTCACTTTGGAGGCTCACCCAAGTCACTAAGAAGCAGATTTGTTTTCTGATTATTCTAAATAGTTTCTTCATCTCACCCAAGTGGTTTTTTTATTCTTCAAAGAACACTTTATATTCCCAAAGTCCACACTCAATCAAGATGGGTTAAGTAACAGAGGAGCAAGACAGAGCCCTTGTGGCCAGAATCCCCAACACAGCATGAGCTGAAAACAAGCAGGAACCTTACCTTTCGCCAGAAGCAGCCCCAGGAGGAAGAAGCTTGGCTGCAGACTCATCTTGGTATCCTTGTGAGATGCCTGCTTTTCAAAGACTTTTGCCTCTCGAGCTCCCGCCTGGCCAATGGATGAAATGTTGTTACTCTTCCGTTTCCCAGATAGATGAACTGTTACTCTTCCTCCCCTTTTATACTTTGCTGTGGGTTGATAATGAACATGCTATAAATTATACATCCAGCACCTTTGATAGAGGGCAATGGCACGCTGTAAAGTAATAAATATTAACATAGCTGCAGCAGCAGGTCCCTTGGTTGGGAGAGCATGGACAAGTTTGCTCTACCCACAGTATGGGTCCTATACATGGCTACTAAGAGTCCAGTGGAGTGCAGAATACCTCCCATCATCTCACACTCCCCTCTACACACACACACACACACACACACACACACACACACAGTGCCCAGTCATTGCTAGCTGGACTTGTCACATGCTCTTCAGCACGCATGGTCAGTACAGCTGCCATTCCCAACTAAAGAGGCCAAGCTCTAGGAGGCAGTGTGGACAGCAGATTTCATTCATTTGTTTCAATGGGAGAGGCAGGGTAGAGGGGGAAAGGAGGGCAGGGTGTGCTGTGGATGTGAAGTTTGGCAAATCAGCCCTTTCCATTCCTAGGGGCTCCAATGCCTTCCCAGCCATCTGCTTCTAGAATTCTCTGCCTTGGCTCTATCAGAATAGCTCCACAGATGGAATGCCCAACATTTTATTCTATACTGTGCTCATAGCAGGCACTTAATAAAGGTGAACTGCATTCAACCCACAAGGCACTAGAAGCCAAACAGTCCTTGACTTCAAGGAGCTTACATTCACTCCTTGGGACAGAGAATGGAACATGTGCATGAATCAGGAAATACAATGTAAATACACATGCCAAACAATGCAAATTCAAGAGTAAGAAAACACCAATAAACGGTTGTGAGGTCAAGAAAGGCATCTTGGAGGGTGGCATCTGAGCTGTATTTTGAGTCAGAATTCTAGATCCCAAAATAAAATTTGGGAGTTAACCACAAATACTAAAGAACAGTGAACTTGCCCAGATATTACTGACTGATCCAAATAAAAGTGTTATTATTCATGCCTGCCAACAAACCAACAACCAAACCAACAAATAGATAGCATAATAGGAGGAATCAGAGGACAAAGAGACTGGAAACTTCTAGAAGGTATGCAATATTTTTGCATTGTCTTTGAATCCCCACCTATGTGTGTCTAGTACATAGGAGGTACTTAAAAAATGCTTATTAATTGAATGGATGGTTGATTGATGAGGTGAAATCCCAGCTCTGCTACTTACCACTTGTGTGATCACGGACAAGTCACTTCATGTTCTTTTCTGCAAAATTGTTGGCACAAATGTTCTCTAAGATCCCATCTAGCTCTAGATCCTATGGTTCATGATCCTCTTAAAGTGTCTACTGTATAGTAGACATACTACAGGTGCTGGTGATGGAGGTATGGCATGCCAAACCCGAGGACCTGCTCACACGAGCCCTAAGAAAAGCTACTTATAGTGACCACTGAAAAACCATAGCTCTCAGTCCTTACAAATGTGTTTACTTTTGCCAGCCAGAGGAAATGGTAGTTCAAAACAAAATACACCTACTGAAACAACATAGCAAACAATGTGAAAAGACCTCACCATGGTACATAAGATATACTCTGCCACTGGTTACTACACCATGAGGGGTTAAGAGCTTGCATGCAGAGAACATGTTTGATCAGGTAACATGTGGAGGACATGTGCAGCTAATCAATACCCACACAGGGACACATAGAAACAGTGTGGTCAGGCTATGTGCAGGGAAGGCACATGTTACCAGGAGCCTCTGAGGCTAGGGCACATATATATATATATGGGACACAGAAGGAGAGACATGTTAGCCAAGAGACACACATGAAAGGAAAGGAAGGGAAGGGGAAAAAAAGGGAAGGGAAGAGGGAAGGTGAAGGGAAGGGACAAATGAAGGAAGCATTTATTAAGTGGGCCATTTTCTCATTTGGCCCTCACAACAACTCTGGGAGGTAGGTGCCATTTTACACTTGAGGAAACTGAGGGAGAGAGAGCTATGAGTTAGTTGCCTTGGCCATGCACACTACAAAGCCACTGGACCTCTCGTAATGTCATCATCCTCCTTCTTGTTGTTCTCTGCTGGGCACTGAGCTGCATTTTGGCTAGCCCAAGCCTCCCCAGGTCTCCCTAGAGAAAAATATGACACAGGCCCTCAGAGCTTTTGGTCTAACGAGAATAGAGAGTAAGGAAGGGCAAATAACTGATATGAGGAAAAAGTGAGATGAGGGCAAAGATCACTTTGATGAGGGAGAAGGGGATAGTCAGGAAAGGTTTTACAGAGGAAGTGATTTAGTTGTAAAGACAGCAGGGCCAAACAAGCGTCTTTGGTGACCCAGCAGTAAGTAAATATGCTAGAGCATTTAGGTTACCTATGGCAACCGGATTTTCTGAACCGATTTGCTTTTATGTTAACTCATGAAATGCAGTTTCTTGGCTTTTGTTGTTGTTGTTTGTCCTTTCTTCTCAAAGAGGACCAATGACATCTTGGGGTGATGTAGTGACGTATAGGTGAATTAGATTTAAGTGAGGCAGAACTGCAAAGTCACCAGCCTCACTCTCTCCTCCAGAGTCAAAGTTCAATGGCAGGACAGGAGTCAAAGACAATTGGTCATGGCCCGGGATACAATGAATGACCTTGGCCTTTCTAAATTAAGGTCTTTTAGGGGCAGCTAGGTGGCCCAGTGGATAGAGCACCAGCTCTAGATTCAGGAGGACCCAAGTTCAAATCCGGCCTGAGACACATAACACTAGCTGTGTGACCCTGGGCAAGTCACTTAACCCCATTGCCTAGCCAAAAAATAAAAACAAAACCAAATAAATAAAGAAATGAATGAATGAACAAGCAAATAAACAAACAAATAAATAAATAGATAAATAAGTAAATGAATAAATGAATGAATAAATAAATAAACAAATAAATAAACAAACAAACAAATAAATAAATAGATAGATAGATACATAAATAAGTTAAGGTCTTTTCCAGGCCTCGGTTTATCTAAGGCAATGCCCATTCAATGACTAAATTCTAGGTAAGAATTGAGACAAAAGATGGCATAATTTACCATGACAAAATACCTTGACCAGTCCTCAATACAGCAGCACTACCTACCCACACTATACCATACAGATTTACAAGCATCACAAACATGAACTCCCTGTAGATGTAAATATACTTGTATATACTATTGGTTAGTAGTACACATGTGTTTTCATGAGTAATTCCATCCACATTAAAATAGAAAATAAAATCCACACAACACAGAACGATATAATTAAAAGTAACAGAAAGGGGAAATATTTAAGGAAAATAAGACAGACTAGAAATTTGACATCTAAAATATATAAGGCACAGAGCACTGGCCCTGGAGTCAGGAGGACTTGAGTTCAAATCAGGCCTCAGACACTTGACACTTACTGAGTGACCCTGGGGCAAATCACTTAACCTCACTGCCTAGCAAAAAAAAAATAAATAAAATATATAAGGAATTTTTTTAAAGTCACAAGTGGCTATGCCAAGTTCACAATGGATAAATGACCAAAAGATATGATCAGATAGTTTTCAAAAAGCAAAAATTCAAATTGTTAAGAACTCCTTGGAGAAAATATTCAACCTCCTTAATAGTCATGACATTTCTCCAGCCTGTAATTCTCCATCTGGTATGATTCTCAATCTTGTGTGACTTTTTCTAATGTAATGCTCATTGATAATTCATTTGGTTCATCTTTAGTGAGGTACAGGAATTTCTGGGACATTGATGGACATTGATGTATTGAGACAGTCTCAAAAAATCTAAGTCACTACATTGTTATCCCTCTCAGATCTCTGGCTTTCTGTCTGAGTTGGATACAGTTCAGAAAAATTTCAGGCCACTCCTGCTATGGTATTAACAAATGTAAACTAATTTTTTAAACACAAAAAGTTGACTCCTTAAAGTTGGGAAAAGATCTGCCTTTGTTCCTTCCTGCTTTTCATATTTCCTCATCCTTTATTCTCAGCATCTTGTTTGGATTAGTATTGTTTTGTATGTCTCCATTGTTCAAAGCATCTCAATACATTCTTAGTAGCATGGCAACATTTTAGTTTACAGAATACCAAGAATGTGCCTCATGTAGCCCCTACTAATGGATTTAGCATTCATTTTAATAGGCAAGATAACATAGCACAGGACAGAAGAATGAAAATTCACTCAAGGTAGAGTCAGAAAAGGAGTCATCAAGTATTTTAATAGTTGGATGCATTCATCAAATTGACCACCCAGTGTGATGACTCATCTCACTTCAACAGTGAAGGAAGGACAAGTCTTTTGATTTGGAAAGAAGTGTGCCTTCCTCTATTCAAAAAGATTTTTCCTCCTACTGGGCCTCACCAGAGCTTTTCAAAAGAGCAAAACAAAAACCCTTCTAAAATGTTTTAAAATAGAAATTGTAACATAAAATATTTTAAAATAGGAAGAAAAACCATACAACAAAAAATATAATTAAAAGGAAAAGTAAGAGATTGGTAAAATAAACCAAATCAGAAACTTGTCATCTAAAACACAAGGAATTTTTTCTTAAGTCACAATGGTAATGCCAAGTCACAATGGATAATGGCCACATGACGTGATCAGACAGTTTTCAGAAAGCAAAAAAAAAAATTAACTTTTATTTTTATAAAACTGAAGGGATAGCCTATCTAAAAACAGTCCCCCTGCCACTATTCTTAAATCCAAGAACAACCATCATCTGCTGGGGTAGGACTGGACAGAGAACACCAAACCTGGACAATCACAGAATCATAGGATCAATAGGAAATTACTTGAGAAGCTATTTTGGCTAAGAATACTCTGCAACATCCTCAAAAAGTGGGCGTAGAATTTAGAACTTGAAGGGACTCCATCAATCACCTAACCTCAACCCCGTCATTTTACAGATCAGGGAAATGTGGGCCAAAAAGACATGGAGTAATTTGTCCAGTCACAAGGTAGTAAGCGGGAGAGCTGAGATTCAAACCAGATTCTCTAACACTAAATCCAGAGATCTTTGTATCATGTAATGCCGCCACCTAGCCTTCACTTGAAGACCTTTCATTTCATTAACAATTAAAATGTTCCAGGTGATAGATGGCAATCAGAAATTGGCTATCTTAAGAATCCATAAAAATGCTCTAGCACAATTTAAATTTTTTTTTTACTTTTTATTAAATGTGCCTAAA